TTATGTTGATATCTATTGATGTTAACCTGCACATTCTAGTGATGCATGCCTAGATATGTTTTCAGCAGCATACATAGAACGGATGTTAAAGGAGTGTCTAGACTCCAACTAGCAATTTGTATTCATTCTTTGCTATACATGTACATGTAGAATAATTACAATTAAAATTGTGTGCATGTATGTGCAATAAACCAATGAAATGTACTGCTTAAATGACTTAATTTTTCACGGCATTGATGAAAATAAAAATTCTGTAAAGTCACTGACACTCGGTAGCATAAAACCCCAGAAAAATTAATTTTCACCTGCTACAAAATTTATTTGCCGTTTCCATGGACACATGAAACTAAAGCAGTTTACAGCATACAAAAGCATGCCCTCTATTCAGATCTACCATTGAAAAATAACATTAGGTTAAATTGAAAAATTATCAAGGACAATGATTACCTACTGGTAATACATCAACCAATCCCTTTTTGTCCATGACTGTTGGCCAGAACAGTCCCTTTGATACTTAGACATGTGGTTAGTTATAAGGTACTAACTTACTATGATATGATACAGTGCAACTATGCGAGTATAGGTAACTTCTAATATAACTTGCTTAGATACTAGGATTTGTAGAGATTAATTTAAAGGTACTGTACTAATTACATAACCCATACCAAGCTAAATCATATACCTCTGTATCCAAGTTTGTACCTCAGAGGTAACCTCTCTAGCACTATTCTTTGCCGAAAAATAGATCAATGGTTACCAACATTTTTGAAAGCTTTGCTGTATCAATTTTGCTTGCAGAATTTTATACTTCTAAATGAATGTACAAGTCAATGATATAGGATATACAATGATACAATGTAGGTCCTGTCGTCACAAGTTGGTGTAAAGATATATTGAAGTAATCAAAACGTTGATATCACACATGCATGCACACACACACAGACAGACACGCACCGCTGTCCACCACTAAAAAGTGATAGCGTATTTGCTCTATTAGTAGCGTATGCGTTTACTAGGTAAATTACAAAGGTGTTTGTATGGTAAAAATAAGTAATATTTTAATGATTTAGTATACAGCCAATGTTTTGGTTTATGTATGCTTCTATTGGGAATGTGCTTCTAATAGAGAAAATATGGTAGCAAACAAAAACTGGATCTGCCAGAACAAACTTGACAAATAATGTGTATTTATTACCTATTACATGTACATGTCTTAAATTGAAAATAAAACAAATTCACAGATTTGAAATAAAGAGTTGGAAACACAATCGCCAATTCAATTGTCCTCGCCAGAGTCATTTTCATCACCCTGCGATTTATCGTGCAATATAACATATTCGCGGGAACTAAAACCAAACTTAATAACATCCTTTTCTCTTAGTTCCACGTATCGAGAGTGTTCTATTTTATTATTATTCACGAATGTACCATTAGAGGATTCCAAGTCTATAACGTATGGACGTACTTGTCTTACGATTGTTGCATCGTCTCGTTCATACTCAACAAGTCTATACTGCAGTACCGCATGTTGTTTGGAACATGATGGGTGATCGACTGGAATATCAGCGATGTGTCGATCACGTCCAAACAGATATGCACTCTGTCGATGTATATGTAGTAGGGGGAGTGCCTCATCTCCTTTAAATGGATACATTCGCCATCTTCTTTTCGGTTTCCTGGCTTCTGGTGGCTCATTATATTTAATAACCACCCCTTTGTAGGTATTAGTATCCTCAGCTAATTTACCCGACAATTCAAAATCAGGTGCATCTTTTGGAACTACTGCTGACTCCTCCATTTCTTGTGATGACCCTTGCTGGCCGTACTGGTACTGTTCTTCCTCACTACGAAATGGATTTTGTGGTTTTCGTTTTTTATCATCTCTTCTTCTTTGATCGTTTTCTTCTCGTTCTATCTTTACTTTAATGTGGCTGTAATCAACATGCTGCTCTGACCTTCCACGGTCTCTGTGATCTTGATGTCGCTTCCTGTCTCTATACTTTTCTCTGTGGTCTCTGTCTCGTTCCCGGTCATTGTGGCTCCTATCTCTGTCTTCTCTACTTCTGTGTCTTTTAGATTTGTCGCCTGAATCATCGTATCTGTGTTTTGTGTCCTGCCTTTCTCCATATCCACGTCTTTCATCATCGCGGTGCCTATGGCGATCCTGTAAAAAAAAAAAAAAAAAAACGCCATGTGTAGAACATTTTAAACCCATTGCAAAAGCTATATCATAACCACAGTCCCTCCATAGACTTGTGTGTTGTAAGATACATTAGACTCAAGTCTGATTGCAATACGATTACCATTCTACCAACAAATTTGTTTTGCAATATGAAAAACGGCCAATCATCCCCAGGCACATGCTTGTTTTACTAACAAATTAGAAAAACAGACAAGTTCTGTTTTTTGTAGTACCGGGTAACTAGTCATTACTACTAGGACTATGTTATTTGGGAAAAGAGATTTATGACAGACCGATGTGACTTGTATTTCATTAGCGACGACTCTATGATAAATGTCACAGTCAGGGTCAAAGTTTGATTGTTTTCAGGTATTTTTGTTTTGTTTTATTTTTACAGTCATTGTTTTTTTTCTGGTGATGGCACCTGCAGGTTTTCTACTCCTAGGCTGTTTGATTGCTAACTACACCTTTTATTTGGCTTCAAGTTTGAAGTATTCCCCTAATATCTGGCCTCTGTAACTTAATGCTTTCAAAACAATACGACTACATACATGTACCCTGTGTATGCATCCTACGCACACTGGCACGCAGTCGATCCACAGCAAATTTGGTGATATGTGTACACACACTAGCTAGTTTAGCATAGTGCAAAAACGCAGACGGCACCGAGACAACGTACCTGTGCGATCAATACTCGGGAGATCACTACAATACTATTCCACACCAAACATCAGTCACACATCCAATGGATAAAGATACTATTATAGCCCTCTATGTGTACTTGAGAGTAACAGTAAATGAACAAACAAAAGAATACACTCAGTCACACTTATTTAACTTTTTTTATTTACTCAACTTTCGCCTACTTACTTTTTTTTAGTTATTCATTATTGACTTTATTACATTTTAAACACCAAATTAGAAATGTAAAATTTTCAACACGGTTGTAATAAAGCTCTTATCTTATCTTATCCAATGGCGATGTACCGGTAAATGTAAATGAATCAAATACAATACTATTTCATGGATTAAAACTGCTTTCTTTCTTAGGTTGTCATATGAGATTGTAAAAACAAAGTTCCAGAAAAACATTTTAAATTATGCAGGGACTGTGAAACTGCTCTGTTCACTGTGGACTTTTCCCCAAGTTTTCTGCCCCATAGTGGCAGCAAATTCACTGATAATGACAACACTACAAAATAATAACAATGGACGACCCGCCAACTCATAATGGACGAACGTTTGAGTTCAAGTGCGTTTGTTTCTTTGCATAATGCATGTACTCCATAACAAACGCTCTACCAATGATGACAATTTGTTTATTTCCTTGAAAATTTTCTTAAATACACACTCATAGAAACAAAACAAAAAAAAAGGACCAAGACCAAGATGAAAGACAATCACCTGATAATGATTGATAATCTCTGCAATCAATACTACCTTCCATGCTACAAGGAAGTGCACTATAGGTTTTTGACCAGATAGTATTACTAC